GTAGGCAGAAAGAGTCCAAAATGTCAGAGCAAGTTCAGGGGTCCGAATGTTCTCTCACAAAGTTCTCAAGTGTGAAAATGACTGAAGTCAACACTCCCTTATATTTAGGCGAAGTGAGAAGGCGAAGGGTCACTTCCAGAATTCATAATTTGGGCGGGAGAAACTCTCGGCCTTTCGCCGAGTGACACCTGTAGCAGGCCGTTGCCTGTTACAGTGCGACACCTGTCACAGGTAACACGTGACCAGTCACGTGCCACCTGTGAGGGGAAAATGATTAGGGGATTTTGCTCCCACCAATCGGAATGCGCCACGTGGGCCAATCAGGTCCTGCCAAGTGTCCCCCAGTTGGAACTGTCAGGGCTTGCCACGTGGCACACGCTTATTCGTCCACCTTGGACCTATTATGTCATGACACGTGGCATACTCCATGCCTAATGGAGAAACCGGCCACCCAGGCCCAACTTCCGAGGGAAGCCCAATCAGCCCTAGGTTAACCTAAACCTAGGATTGGCATGTTTCCCAAGGTTATAAATACCTCCCTTAATCCTCATTAAGGGAGATTACATGAATAACAGGTTGATCACGCTAAAAAAGCAGATTACCTACATTAAACACTCTCACCTAGAGAGACCCAATCACTTTAATTTCCGCATTAATTACTCCTCAAACAAGTACTAACTTGATCGTTGGAGGCGGAGCTCCTACCACAAGGAGTCTCCGTTGTTTTGCAGGTACAGGCGTCCGGTTCCAGTCTCGGAATTGTAACTCTCCCGCAGGACATCAGAAAACCCCGAAACAACCTTCACCCTGTGAACGGTTTACAAGTTCCTAAAACTTGTTGGCGACTCTTTTACTCTAGCTTCCTTCCCTTTGGACGCCACCATGCTTAAGTGTATGATCACAGTGGGGCTCAAGTGTGGGATGCTTGATATATTACCTACAACGGCGCCAAATATTTTTGGTGTTTTCTGGTCCCTAGGGAAAGTTACGTCACCAAGATTGGTCCCATGGGGTCTATACCTGCAAAACACAAAGACTCCGGTTGGTAGGATCCCCGCCTCCAACGATAAATTTAGTATTGGTCGTAGAAAATGAAAAGGTGCGGAAAAGGTAAAAGTGAGATCTTCTTGGATTTCGAGATCAGGTGTTTTCTCTAATGTGAGAGTATGTAGGCTGTTGTAATAATTGAATGTGTCCCCAAAATGGGGGAAATCTCCCTATTTATAGGATCGTTGGAAAATGTGCCTTTCATTAGGTCATGATGACCTAATGAGCTGCGCCGTTTTGCGGCGTTCTTAGGAATTGGGCCTTGAAGGCCGTCATTTCCTGAGGTTATCTGAGGTGACACGTGTCAAATGGAGAGTTGTCCATGTTGGGCCTCTCCATGAATGACACGTGTCCCTCTCTGATTGGGCCACATCTTTAGGGTATTTTTACCCAAAACAATTATTATTATTATTATTATTATTATTATTATTATTATTATTATTATTATTATTATTATTATTTCTCAAAAACAAAAGTCATACAACGTACAATAAATTAGTGGGTATTATTATTATTATTATTATTATTATTATTATTATTATTATAATAATAATTATTATTATTATTATTATTATTATTATTATTATTATTATTACTATTACTACTACTACTATTATTATTATAAAAAAACCCACAAAGTCAATCAATTTACAAGAAATTGGTGGGGGAGCCGAGATATAATCTAGGCCCCCACCCCTCTAGCTATAGCGAACCCGATCTTGCTGAATATGTGTACAGCTGCACGAGCACCAGTATCCTGAGTCTTAGCGAACGCTTGAACCCGTTTCAGCAACGTAATATCATCCTTCTCTAATTCCCCCAATGAACAAAAGGAGAAAGGAAGAAAACTATAGCCAACAGCCCTGCAACGCATCCCATACTTGTCCCGCTTCCGCTGAGCCGCCACAGACACAACACGACCAGGAACAAAGTCAGACAACCCCGAGTACATCTGCACGAGCACTAATGTCCTGAGTCTTACCGAACGCCTGAACCCGCTTCTGCAACGCAATAGCATCCTTCTCTAATTCCCCCAACGAAGAAAAGGAGAAAGGAAGAAAACCATAGCCAGTAGCCCTGCAACGCACCCCATACTTGTCCCGCTTCTGCTGAGCCTCCGCAGACACAACACGACCAGGAACAAAGCCAAACAACCCCGATTGTGTCAAAGGTGAAGACCCCATCAAGTCAACACATACATCAAGGCCTCTATCCTAGGAATAAAGCAACACATCTGCTGGTTGTAGAGCCCCGTCGTTCCCTCCCGTCAACCCAACGTTAACCTCCTTTCGAGCAGAAATCTCATACCGAAAACAAATATCAACAAGGGTGTCACGAACAAAAACCCTGCATGATCCCCATAAATATCCCCAACAAAAACCCTTGAGCAAGCAGGACACGGTGTTATTATTATTATTATTATTATTATTATTATTATTATTATTATTATTAGTAGTAGTAGCAGCAGCAGCAGCAGCAGCAGTGCAGCAGCAGCAGCAGTGCAGCAGTGCAGCAGTAGCAGCAGTAGTAGCAGCAGCAGCAGTAGTAGTAGCAGCAGCAGCAGCAGTGTAGCAGTGCAGCAGTAGCAGCAGTAGTAGCAGCAGCAGCAGTAGTAGCAGCAGCAGCAGTAGTAGTAGCAGTAGTAGTAGTAGTAGTAGCAGCAGTAGCAGCAGCAGTAGTAGTAGCAGCAGCAGCAGCAGCAGCAGCAGGAGCAGCAGCAGCAGGAGTAGCAGTAGTAGTAGTAGTAGTAGTAGTAGTAGTAGTAGTAGTAGTAGTAGTAGTAGTAGTAGTAGTAGTAGTAGTAGTAGTAGTAGTAGTAGTAGTAGTAGTAGTAGTAGTAGTAGTAGTAGTAGTAGTAGTAGTAGTAGTAGTAGTAGTAGTAGTAGTAGTAGTAGTAGTAGTAGTAGTAGTAGTAGTAGTAGTAGTAGTAGTAGTAGTAGTAGTAGTAGTAGTGGAAGTAGTAGCAGTAGCAGTAGCAGTGGCAGTAGCAGTAGTAGCAGTAGCACCAGCAGCAGCAGTAGCAGTAGTAGCACCAGCAGCAGCAGTAGCAGTAGCACCAGCAGCAGCAGCAGTAGCAGTAGCAGTAGCAGTAGTAGTAGCAGTAGTAGCAGTAGTAGCAGTAGCAGTAGTAGCAGTAGTAGTAGAAGTAGCAGTAGCACTAGTAGTAGCAGCAGTAGTAGTAGCAACAGTAGTAGCAGTAGTAGTAGCAGTAGTACTATTATTACTAAGTAAGGGGCCCATTATTATTAAAGGATAGTTAAGGAAAGAAACCCGCTCAATGCATAATCTAAAGCTATTTATTAATAATTAATATTGCTACTTATAAGTCAAAGGTAATTAAGCTGACTTGTGAACCGTATGAAGTGCATGTTTTATTAATTATTGCTAGGACTATCATTTTAGTGTATGTGGTGCATATGTACTCGGCTTTTGTTGATACGTACTTTTGTGTTTGTGTTTGGCTTTTCTTTGGATTGACCCTACTATGACCTATTTATATGGTGAGTAGAGGGGTTGAAATAAAGAGAAAGTGATGGGTACTTGAATCATGAAGGGAACGAGAGTGTAGAGAGTTATCTATTATGATTTTGATTTGTTTGATTATGATTTATGGACTAACTTTATTTTGCTTTATTTTAAACTGGTTTTTGGAAGGGCCATGTTTATATTGGTTTCAACTTGTGAAAATTTTAATTTACTTATGTTTTGAGGTTGTGAACTATAGTTATTTATTTTTGAAAAAATGGTTTTTAGTTTTAGACTTTTGTTGTGTGACATTGTACATAGCCTTAGCCGTTGTCACGGCGGCGGTAATATTTTGAGTATTTTCTAAAATTGTACGATTGAACAGTATGAACACCAAACTTAAATTTTTTTGCGAAGAACTGTATACTTAAAATTGAAAAAGAATTTTCTTTATTAAGTTATGACCCGAATACCTTGCATGATGTTTGAATTACCTAGTAGATTCACTGATATGGGCACTTTAGTGAAGAAAGACTACGAGAGTGTGTAGGATTATATTCAAATGATACGTTTTTACTGTTCTTATAGATATGATGTTTTTAGAGGGTATCATCTGGATCAAACTAGTTATGTTTCAGCTATGATTGTTCATTGCTTACCTAATTATCCACACTATGAAGCTATTAAGAGTCGCTTTCGTGATTTTCATTTGACTAATGGTGTATTGGTGTTGCTAATTACACCAAATATAGACTAATGGTTAGTGGGGAGCGGAGGAAATACTTATACCGTTACGTCTCTCATAAGAAGTTCATCTATCTTAATCCTTGATCAATATGCCGATTATCCTCCACCATACAATAATTTTGGCTATTACCAAGTTCCTCAGCAAAATGCTTCACAAGCTCCACAGCAAAATGCCTATCATTCTCCAAATAATCATGACCCTATGTCTAAGTTAGAACCTGAGCAAACCTATGAGAGTCAAGGGGATCCAATGTAGCAAGACGTTGAGTTGGGAGACACCTCGTGCCGAGAAGTTCCTAATCCAAATCCTCCTCCAGTAACTATTGATGTGGAATCTAAAGAGTCTGAGGAATAACCTGAAGACGAAATAGATCATGAGGAAGATGATGATGATGATGATGGCAATGATGGGAGTGATCCTGAGTATAATCCAAAGAAGTAAAAGGAGATGAAAGACAAGATTGACAATGTTAACTTGCACAACCTGATAAGTTTAAAGAGTGGTCAGCACACAAGCACATATCTCATGTGTAGCCTAGCCAATCCGCTTAGCATTGTGAGCAAAAATGTGGCAAGCCTACACACGTCAAATGGTGTGGGTGGAGACGTGGATTGGATTGGATTTGGATTGAGGGTAAATCTTGAATTGGATTTTATTTGGATTTCCATATATTGAACCATGAATGAAAGAGGAGGAGCCGAGAGGGTTAAGGGACATTGCACAACTTCTCAACAATAAGTCAGTCTATATAAAGACATATTAGGAAAGTTTTAATTATCACTGTATTAAAATCTTTTACTTCAGTCATTATACATTCTTTTGCTAAGTCACCCAAATTTGGGTTTTTCTATGAAAGCCAGTGTACAACAAAAGGGATTTACAATAACCATAATGTGTTCATGTAAAACTGACAGATAACTTGCCAAGCATAACAAGTAGAAGCTCAGATGTTTATAGTAACATCCCACAATCGAAGAAATCCATTACGGCCACCACTACATATTCTTTTCCTTTCTAGATCGGAAGCCACACATCTTACAACAGCAGCAGACTTTTGAGGTGTTCGGTAAAGCTGCCATCCGGATACTTTAGAGCCAGAGCTAGAGAAGCCACCAAGTCTTTCTTGAGGGCGATTAAAAAGAGACATAGAGTTATCTGCCGCACCGATCCCCAGCCAGTGTTCACCAGCATTGATGGATAATATAGGAGCAGAATGTACGGTGACATTCTTCACACATCTTATACCCCCATCAGCATTTTCCCAAAATCGAAGCATCCCATCTGTTGAGCCACTAATAATTCCTTTCTCCAACGGTGAATACTCAACACACTGGACAGGACCTGCATGACAAGCCAAGACAGCATCACATGTGCCTCGAGAAACTGACCACATCCTAGCTGTCCAATCATCACTACCAGTAATCAGAGTATCTCCCACCATTCTGATTGATCTGATCCATTTTGTGTGCCCCAAGAGCTTATGCATCTGTCTACCAGCACGTATGTCCCATAAGTACGCAACTGAATCTCTACCTGCAGCAGCCAAAACCCCAGTAGAATCATCATAATCCATACAGAGAACTGCACTGGAGCATCGCCCAACGGTTGCCACACAAGTATCAGTTCTCACATCCCACATCTTAAGTGTTCCATCAAGAGAAGAAGTAAGGACACGCTCTCCTGAAAGCATGCGCACAGTGCTGATCGGTGCAGTATGTCCTTTGAGCTCTTCTAGAACTTGGTGTGTTTGCTTATCCCATACCAAGAGAGATTGATCGTCTGATCCTGATACTATCTTTCCTCGGTCGGAGCTTATAGCACGCACAGCTCTGGAAGACAGCAATACTTAAGAATATACATCAATAAATGTGTAGAAGACAAAGAGGGAAAGGAAAATAAGAAATAAGTCAAGACAGTACAAGCCAAAAGGGCAAACCACACAATTCATTATTGGGGTCTAAATGAATGTCACAGGTACTGGACGAACAAAATATGCCCCAACATCAAGAGGATCACATGTCTTCGGGAAAATAAAAGCTAATAACTTTAGTCACAGCACATTCTTTATTTGGTAAAAATGTCTACACAAGTGTTTGCCAAATAAACAGTTTTGTGATACCGGATCAACTTTACTAGGAATCAGCTGAGGTCTCAAATTCTGGTTATTTATTTTTATATTTTCAGTAAGATGCCATCAATATAAATTCACTTCTTCATCAGACCAAATTCAGTTACCTCAATCAACAAATTTTCAGTAGGATCAAAATAGAATTTCCAGAACCCCAATTCCAATTACATGTATTGTTTCAAAGTTACATCTGTAAGATGATACCATAAAACATGCCAAGGGGAAAAAAGTTCTGAGGGAACCAAGTATATGGAGCATGAGCCAACTCAAATACTATAGAGCTGAACTAAGTGCGACCCAAATGGTCCCGATCCAAAGCAAATTGAAACTGATTACTGAGCATACCTGATTTGACCTGACACAAACAACTCATTTTCAGACAATGTAACATAGGCATGACAAATATATCTCTAGACTTCCTTTTAAATGAGTGTCAGTCACCAACTAGTACTCCTTTTATTACTATAATCCTTCATTACTTTTTCTCCTTAGTAACCAAGGATACAGAGGTACGACCAATAGAAGTGATCCTACACAAGTGTGGTCATATAATCCTTCAATACTTGTCCCCAAAAGAAAACAAGAAATAATGATTAGATATAAAAGTTACCCGGTATGGCCTTGCAAAGTGGCCCGAAGCTCAGAACCACGAAGACTTGGATCCCATATCTTAACCTGGAAGATTTTGAAGTGAATGAAAGGTTAAATCAGTTTCAAAATCTTAACAATCATTAATATATCCTCGTTAAGATGTAAATGCACATAAATAAACGCTCCTAGACAATTAGTGCTTCCAAGAGCTCAACAGGCAACATTCAACATGTCTTTAACTTCAGTTGATAAGCTACACCTGAGCAACACAAACTTATATTTTGGCGGTGGGGTGGGGAGGAATTTTTGAAATGGCAAAACATTCATAACTAAATTCTGCTAAATTGTATATTTTTTAAAAAATGCTCCTTCATCTATTTTAGGCAGGTAATAGAGTCTATTTTACACAACTTAACAACATACTTAAGATCAGAATAATTGTGAAAACTACACTCATATTGATTTAAGAATCTAGTAGATATAATTTTTAGATAAATTAGAGTACTAAGTTAATAATAACAATAAACACTCTTAGTTGTAAATCTTGTAATACATGTATAGGTGTAGGTGAAAAAAATAAACAAGGACATAAGAAAAACTATAACCAACACTATGAAGTGTAAACTGCTTCTCTCAAAGTAAAAACTTAAAAAAGAAATAAAATACAGTTTCACATAAGGTTTGATCCTGTGATCTTTGTATATATGTTTTGACACTGGATGTTTTTCAAGGAACAAGATTAACCAGCCCAGCTAAAGTTTTCTTTAGCATCAACCATTATAGCCAACATTTAAAAATTTCCCCCCACCCCCAAAATATTGCCCCTCATAACGCCCCCAATATAAGGTACCGGTACTAAATGTTGACATGATTAGGAAAAAAAGTTCACATACCAGGCAATCAGTGCTTCCACTAATAAAGAAGCCTGCATCCTCACGGTCACCAACAAGATCCCACACCTCCTTTCTTGTGACACAATGCAAAGCAGTGATTGCACCATTATGGCCCCTAAGTACACGCACATTTGTTTGAGGCTTCTTTTGACCCGCAGCATTTGCCGGATCCAATTTACCCTCATTTGCATCTGAATCCAACAGAATATGCAATTAGTGGTAAACAACCATATCAACCTGAACTTATAAATAAGGTATTGCAAGTCCTTACACACAATTAGGAACTACCTGATACTCCAGTACGTACACGAGTAAAAGAATGTGCCCTTAATGATGTATCTCTGCTAAACATGCTTTGTACCCAGCTCCTCCCAACACTAGACGCCTCAACAAACTGTTGATTGTCATGTGCAGCATCTTGTGGACGTGGAGATTGAACTCCATAAGCGGACAATGATTGTACTTTTGTAGCAGCTATTCCCCAGTAAGCAAAGCGAAGTTGGTGGATATGTGACAGAAACCCTCTTAATTGAATCTGGGACCAAAAAAAATTAATGATTAAAAAAAATTGTTAACAATCAATAAAAGACATTATAAATCTATCAACTGCAACAAATAAAAAGAAATTCTGGGTGAAGAGACCCAAGTATGCATAGCACAAGGTGTACCCAGGATTCTGGGAACACCTAGAAACCCAAGTATGCATAGCACAAGGTGTACCCAGGATTCTGGGAACACCTAGAAAATTTATTTACCAGTATATTGCATGAGATAAAGACTAATTTAATAGTAAATAACTAATGTAGTTAACTGTCTCAAAGTGATTCTGCAAACACATAATGCCCACTTGCCCAGGCAGCCCAGCAATAGCAAAAAATACTTCTTAGAGACTCCTCACACTGACACCAACAAGAAATTCATTTTGGACACTTAACATGGAATGGAAGGAGAACCGTTTCATTAAGGGGGAGATTTGGTCCTCTCATATCTGGACAGAGCAGGTAGTAGTATAGTACTATCATCTTCAATAAAACTTGACAGACAAAGGTTTAGGAAGAAGGAACATGGGTAAAATAAGTAAAGAAAGCTAATAAATACTCACAAATTGCTTAAACCCATTGTTGTTTTTCTCTGCTATGGTCTCAATAATGTTCCAAGCATCAGTATCGGGTAGTCCCAGTCCAGCCTTTATAAAGTAAATAATCAAAATTCAGTAAATCAGCAGCAGTGTATCATGTGGTTAAAAATAAGAGAGTAGAGTGTACCATATGTGAAGCTACTACAATAAGCTGTGTCAAAACCACAGTGGCGTAATTGGATGACCTGAAGAGACCAAAAGAATCAGAAGTGATGCAAAACCTGATGAAATAACACTCAAAAAGTACATCACAGAATCCTCAGCTTATTACAAAAAGTTCTAGCGTAAGAATAAGTTCCAAATAGTTAAGTACATTACTTTTTGAGGACTGTGACAGGAAGAAAAGTTAAGTTCAACAAATAAGTTATATATATAGTGTTCCTTTATTCTATTGTGGCAAGTATAGGTAAAGCATAATAATCACACTTTTCTAAAACATCATATTATTATAATTTGTACGTGTTTACAACATTATTCAAAGCTATTTAAGAAAAATTGTCATTAATCTGAATTTAAGATGAGGGCCCTGGATAAATAATGTACCACACAATAACAATTGTCCCACTTGGCAGGAAAATTAGACAAACACAGATGCAATATTTCAGCATGCTTTAAAGTAAAAAGAGACCAACTACAGATCCTTACTTGTTGGAAGCTTGATCCATCAGATACTCAAAATATCCTTCCCAAAACCTTGAGTAAAAACAAGAAAGAACAATGGAGTCACTTGAAGGTGAAAGAATAAAAGTCAGATAACTAGAGAGTAATAACACAAATTAAATCTCGAAAAAGACGGATTGTCAACGAGAAGTATCCAACTAAATTCACTAGAATCACTACATAGGAAATTCACACTCTCTACATTTTCGGTTGTTATAGAATATGCAATAGTGGCTGTTTCATCTACATTAACAGATACTTTCACTTAAGTATTAATATATTTAAACTCCGTATTGTAGATGCCCAAAAAACGTTCTTTTGGTTTTAGTTGGCTACATAGTTTAAATTGATTCCTAATAATAAGATTAAGGAAACTATGCCTAGTAAAGGATTGAATGAGCAGTGATACTCTTACTACATTTGTTGCTTACTTTAACTTTATGCAAAATCATTTCAGAGATAAATGTCAACTTTGAAACATCCCCCATCCAATCTCTCAATTGTTTTGCTTCAAACAAGATGGAATTAGCAATATTAATGCTAAAAAATGGCCATAAAAATAGGTAGACATAGGGTAAAACAACAGAAATCTCCAAAAAGATAAAAGATACCCATCCACCAAAGCACTCTCTCGTATCTCTCCCCCTCTGCTTCCATGCTATATAATAACTGAAAAGTTCATCCAGCCCCAAACACAATAACACAAGCAAGTAAGCAGCAGAGGTGAAAAGAGACAATTCTCAGATAATAGAAATAAAATGTAGGTATTGAAGAGTGAGAGATTAACCACTAACCCAAATCAAACATTAAAGCATGCATATGTATGATAACCACCAAGGTAAAGCGACATCAAACTCCTTTTCCCACATAATATCTGGTTCCCTACGCATATTTTCTCACACTAAAGTAATCCTTCTTTCATTTATCAAGGAAAAAGAAAAGGGAAAAAAAAAAAGGAGTTTCATTGAGACCTTCAATTATGATAATTCAAATTCCCTCACTCCCAGTCCCATTCCATCTGAGACCACACTTGGTAATCATGGAGATAATCCGAAACCACCAATAAAAAGAATTTTACTCCACTTACTTAATAAATATATTCTAAATAATAAAATGGCCTATCCAAATCCAACCCATGTTAAGTGAATATCTTTGTTAGCTTTGGTCCCAATTAATTGATAGGAGATTCAACAAAAGTAAGATTACCCCAGGACAAATAAGCTCAATTTAGCACAAAAATAATTAAATAAATAAATAAAAATAACAATAGAAAAAGTTGACCTAAAACAAGTTCAGCAACACTTTCATAAGTTCATAACACATGTTTAAGAAAGGACCGACACAGTCCTTTGATTTCATAAAGTATAAGATCTCTTTTTCTTTTAAGTGGCAAAATACAGATAAATTTCTTCATGTTTTCTTTTATTCTCACCCATCCCTCGGAATTCAGTAAGACTCAAGACTACAACAAAAATTTTGTTCAATTTTTATTTTCTTTTTACTTATTTATTTTACTTTTAAATAATTTTGTTAATTTCCTTATTTATACTTCCCTTGGTGATATAATCAAAAGAAAAATATGATTCTTTATTGCATTTTGTATAATATTACTATGTTAGGCATATTAATAATATCTATATTACTCACACTCTTCATTTCACCTTAAGTACTCGTGTCGGACACTCGGACATGGGTAAGACACCAGATACTTTAGTTTAGTTCAAAATCACGGAAAGCTTTCAGAAAATAACCAAGTCGGACACTTGGACACGTACCCATGTTGGACATACATACTAGAAAGTAACATAGAATAGTTTAGTCAATTATATTAAAGCACTTATGGTTTTAAGATGAGAATAGTGCAAACAAGTGCACCTTGTGCCTTTTAACAGTAACATTTCTACTTCAAAGATATATGTTGTACTAGCACATGATTTCTTTAACACTTTCCGCCCAAGGAGCATAGCACAACATTATATTTGCATCTACAATGATGATACCCTACCAAGTTTCTTAATAAGTATCAAGCAACGGCATCAATGCTATTGCAAGACTCACCGGAATCAAACACATAATTGTTTTAGGTTAAAATATTATTTGTTTTACAAAATTTATTACTCTATAGGTTCCATTTTCTTAGAGTTCCAAAGATGTATTGTATTCATAGGCTGCAAACTTAAACAAGCTGAAAATCAAGAGTTAAGAAAATGATAACACTACTCCCTCTGTTCCATAATGATGTTTCTATTTGGAATCTTTGACTTTTTTAAAAAATGAGAGGATCTTCTAAATTTCTCTTAATCTATAAGAACAAATATAGTCTCGTGGGATCTAGTTTGATTCGTCTTGATGAGCAAATTATTAGTATCTAAACTTTTATAATTTTTGCTAGTATGATATTAAAGATATCTGCGGTCAAAGATGGGTAAAAACTTGCATCGATTTACGAAACAGGAACATCATTCTAAAACGGAGGGAGTACATTGGATGAGCCGATAGTCTGATACAATAGTTATAACGAAAAGAAAAAGTTAAAAAGTGGGAATGAGGCCCTTAGGGTTAAGTGGAGGTCATTAGATAGGAAGGAAGGCTTTAAACCTAATTAAAAGTAGTGTATAATTATAGAATATCGAGACAGTATTAAATAGTGGCACTTGAATGTTTTAGAGTAGGCAAGGTTGAGAATTGCAAGATATTAATCTTGATTGATAAAAAAGAGGATCCACATCCCTTTTGGGGCACATGCAACCTATGTTACTGGACTCGTCCAACTCGGCTATTTTGTGAAAAAAAATTCATGATTTTGAACTAAAAGTGAAGTGTCCGGGTGTCATACCCATGTCTTGAGTGTCGAGGGTCCGTCAGTACGACACGGGTACGTGAGGTGAAATGAAGAGTCCAAGTAACATAGCATGCAACTCATTGATCTCAGTACCCTATATCACAGTACTAATGTGGGTTGGAGCATGTGAACACTTAGGGTGCATGTAACAGGTCATAAGCGGGTGGGACTTTGAGAAGAGTGTGACACTCTTGCCTATTGGCGATAAAGTGCAAACTTCACGTGGCCACGGGAATGACCAGGCAGTAGGTGCAAAAGGGACCAAGTCAGGAAACAACAATCTAAAAGGAAAAATTAAACTGCCACCAGAGACAACACGATTGTCAAATTGGAATGCTCACAAGTTTTAAAGAGCAAGAGGCAAGTGGAAGACTCATTCACCAATGCTGCACAAATAGGTTCAAGTACAAGATGAAGACAGTAGATATTTCTAATGAAAACTGGAACATCAGAAAAATAATAACCATAGAATCCAAACACAAGTCCTAGAAGTATACAATAAAGGTAGGGTGGACCTGCACCCATAATCAAGGGCTGACAAAGATCTTTAATCATTAAAGGCTTAAGGCAACCTAAAGTCCTAAACCTACCTGAGATAAAACCATATTTAATAGCAAATAAAAGAAACAATCATGTCCTCAGACATTTGGGCCATCATATCAACATAAAAACATAGAAACATCAGGAAGGTAAGTCATACACTTGAAACCAAAAGAAATTACCGTCAATGTTCAGCAGAAACCTTACATCCAAATCATAAGAGAAGTGGAGATATGTAGTTCAATGTAAGAGGTGTTTGAAGCTTACCGAAGTTCTTCCCAAATTGACAGTGAAATCAGATGACGTTGAACACAATCAGAAACATTATTGGCATCCTTCTTATAGATTTCAGCAGACACTTCCAGTGCATCTCTAACTGTCAGCATGTCATTGCGAGAAGTTGCAAGAGTAATTGCAGTTTTCAGCTGAAGTTACAACAAATACGCATTAAAGAGAGGCAAAATCTCAGACGGGAAGGTGCAAATACAGACAGAGAAACAGTAGAGGAAACAAGAAAATATCTAAGGATAACATCTTAGGTGGTAAGACTGGTAACTAAAGTAATTTGTCTGTAACAACCACTCATGGGTAGGTTGTACAAAAATTTTATACTAAATTCATACTATTATTTGGTGCAAGAGGCAAGATTACATACTCATAGACTACTTCTGAATTTGAACATTAAGTGATTTAAAAGGTTATTGAAACATAATTAAAAGATATTGGCTGCATGAACTTTTTAAGCAGCTTCATCCACAGAACTGTACACCCTTAAGGTGAACAATCCTCTGTAAGTCTGTTTAGGTACTTAGTCTGTTTGTCCCATTTGAGCGGTAAAATTCATCCACTTTTCTTCTACCAAGGAAATTATGATTTTCCAAGAGTTTAACATTTTAGGCCTTCAACCAGAAAAATATAAAGCTACCATTTCACATCTATAAACTTTTATCTAGTACTCAGTGTTTGGACAGCTCAATGGAAACTAACACTTGGAAAGACTTATTATATGCATTGCAGATTCGTTTACCTTTTTACATACTTCCACAGTTCTAAATCAGATGACACGTTACTTTTATCATGTTTGCCAATGCATAAATTCAACTATAAATGTCTCTAATAATAAAGTTGATATTTAGAATATACACATTGAGAGGATTTCAACAAAATTTCATATGACTATTTTCTTATCTATAAATCACAAAAGCTAGTCAAATTAGTGTTTGAAAATAGTGACAAAAGTCAAAATGTGTAATCTAATTTGGAATGGAGGAAGTAATAAACACTGAGTTTAAATAGTGGAAGCAGTACAACCATAACTTTTAAATTTAAAAATAGCTGTACCAGTTCTTTGACAGCAATAAATTGCTCTTCAGTCAATTGACAGCTCCACCCCTGCATGAAAATAACCAGATATAAAACACGGAATTCCAGATATAATTTTTATAAGTACATATAAAATAAAAATTAAAAAAATCCTCTTTCACAAGTCACAACTAAACATACAGTATGTATGTGTTCCCTTATACATTCAACAAACCCGCTTCCACCAATACCATCTGCATCAGATTCAATGAGAGCTGCAAAAGAAGTCAGCAAAAATTTAACTTCAATCAACAATCTAATTACCTACCTAAAAAGTAAAACAGAGTTTTCAAACAAATTTACCAACAATAGTTCCATATTCGAACGAGGACAAAGGATCATCAGTGGCCCCTAACTTCAGAAGACGTAGCCACAGCCCCTGCTCATTAAAAAATGTCATATAACTTCACACTTCAAATGCTTAGCATAAGATCATCTAAGATTACAATAACAAGGGACAAGGCGAGGTCATAAGTCCATCCATCCATTCCCCTCAGTAAAGGTAATGTTCAATAACAACAAATCCACAAATTTCAAAGCTATAATCACCAGAGCATATCCTGTCTCAATTGAAATAGCATACTTGAATTATAAACACTTAATTTGCATTATACAACCCAACAAAGACAAAATCTTAGAGGCCAGATAAGCTTCTGCAACTTACATCCGATCCTCAATCTAGGTCAAGTCTGACTACAGACACAAAATATACAATGCAAAATCAACGAACAGCAAACAATAAAGCTATATACTATTCTACATTTCTACATATAGACCAAATTCCAAACCAAATGAACCCTGTTTATCTTTTCCACCTACAGAAATTATCTTCAAAATCATTATTCTCATTTTCACAGTACTTTCATTTGGTCCTGCAGAAATTTTTTCTCTTACCTATTCACTGTGCTTATTTCTCTCCACTGTCCTATACTCTTTCCTTCATCAAAAGATAATTAAAAACAGAAAGCTACACCAAATGCTAATAAATAATTGCAATAATGTTTTTAGTTGCCATAAACGATAAATTCATGATATGCTTTGCTGCAATGTTCTTACTTCATGCAAAAATAGATTTACAACACAGAAAATATGACAACCAATAGAAACAACACCCTACTTGCAGATAGCAAGATCGATTAATAAAAAATTCAAGGTGTATTTTAATTTGAATATTTACCTGCAACTTCACTTTAATGTCCAAGACCATGCGCTCCCGCTCAGCCTGTAAAAAGAAGAAAACATCTAAGTATTCCAAAGCTTAATTCAGTTGAGGGCTTTTTGAAAAGACAAATCTTTATACCATTCCCACGATTTGGTTATCAGTCATTATATGCAAAGTTAATACAAAAAAAAAAAAGACTATGCATACTTCTAACTCCCTTCGCAAGAAGCATACTAATATTTTTCCTGTTATAATTTTCAAGAATTACAACAATCTATTAAACTTGAACTTTGCACAAGCTCCTAACAGGTAGTTAATCAACTAATACTTAATGGCCTCATAAGTAGCATAATATGTGCAAAGAGGGTGAATTAGGAGAAACCACCTTATCTGGATGATGACAACCATACCAAGACCTTAAGTGACTCTCAATAACTTAATCAGATAGCTAGTTAATGAATGAAATAGCAACCAATCATTAAAATAATTGTATCTACAAGGAAAACTGAAAAAAGGACCCACAGCTCTCTCCCTTGGACTGAGACTTTCAGCATGATCAAGATTATGTTTAGCATCAGTATCAAGTGATCCACCAACTGCAGCAAGAATCTGCTTCCTCTTTTCCTCCTGCTCTTCTGCTCTAATATTTGAGGGGAATCGGTCATACACATAGGGAGAACCACTAGCTGTGAATCAGGGAAACATCTTTGTAAGAAATTTAAACAAGTAAGCTTAATAAGGTATAAACTCGTGAGAGCATATAATTGACAACTAAATAATAACTCTACCAGGTACACTGCCATCAAGATCAGATATTGTAATAATTTCAGGTTCTGACACAGGTGATGGCAATATTGACATAGGATCCTGTCCTCTCCCAATGGCATCTTGCAACTTGTGAAGAAGATTGTTATTAAAGCCTATGCCTCTTTCAAGGAAGTCCAAAAAACCTTGTGTCTCGAAAAATTGTACAATCTGTGAACAAAAGCAGTGTATTGATATACTGTAAACAAACAACAAGAAAAATATAGAAGACAAACAGACAGCACAAAATAACAGTGCTTTCACAGATCTCATGAAGCTCGTGCAAAGAAAATTATGAAATCAGATTATGATTATTTGCAGAGGTGTTCAACTACGCTAATGATCTTGTCCCAAAGGGAGTGAGATAGTACTCATCATCTACCTTCAAGTAGTTGATATGAAAGCTAATGTTTTCCTAAATTTTTTTTTGGATATTAAATATCTCAGAGAAATGGAATCATAAAATAACAACCATGAAACACCCATTGTTAATACACCCTACTAACATGTTTCAATGACACCTTGAATTGGGATGCATACAACCTCATCAAGCCATGATTATGGAAATGTAACAGACATTTTACAGAAATGGGAATATTCACCAAAATAGCAACCATGAACCACCCATTGTTAATCTATCTTTTTCTTTTTCTTTTTATTTTTATTTGTGTGTGGTGCAAGTGTTCCCTTATGTTCCCTGATTACTTTGGTATTTGTGCTGCATTTGTGGCAGGAGCAAGTTTTTAGGGTGAAAGGTACAAACTACAAAGCCCCTTGACTCCACCTTCACAAGGAATCAAGGAAGTGAGCCAAGCATTTCCAATCATTTCTTAGACCTTTACAAAATAAATGTGTTAGTGTTCCCTTATTTCCAGTTTTCTGGTTTCCATTTTTGTTTCTGTGCAGCGTTGGTGGAAGAAGCAAGTTATTAGGACAAAAGGTACAAAACCCCTTTACCTCAACTCTACCTTCACAAAGAATCAAGAAAGGAAGTGAGCCAAGCATCTCAAACACAGTACAACTTCAGGTCTGTGTTAATAATAATAATATAATAAAATAAAATAAAAAACCAGCTTGGTTCAGACTGCTTAGCAAACAAGCATGAGATCTTAGACTTGATTGTTCATGAACTTAAGAAAGAGTTCTTATTGATCCTTTTAAAATTCAATGTACATGAAATGATTATAACAGACCAAAAAGGCAATAAAAATAACCAAAAAAGACCATACTGAAGCTCACCATGGGATCTAGGGGTTGATTAGTCAATCGAGAGCGCTTCTTCAAGAATGCTTGGGTATTGAAGACATTGGTTGCAGAATTTTCCTGGGTAATAAAAATAGTTTCTCATTGCAGTTTTGACATGATACAAGTATATGAATCAAACAAATTAATTAAATAGCCAAAAAGAAGTAGAGACATACAATAAAATTCCGGTAACCAGATAAAATTGATGCAAAGAACTTCAGAAATATCATCCTGCACAAACAGAATGGGACTGCTTAAAATGTTGCAGGTTACCTTACTTCAGAGACATGATACATTATCCAAATGAATCAAAATAAGCTTATGTGAAATCTAAGAAAAGAAACATCAAATTTGAAAAGAGAGCCACGCAGGAACCATGGATAATTAAGGTAACCCTCAACACGAAAATACAACATGACAAAAGACAATCACACAAATTATTACTTCCTCCGTTACACATTATGTGCAACAAACCTTGCTGCACATTTCCCAAGACAAAACTTGCTAATGGTTGATTAACAAAGTGAAGGGTGTGTGATTAAGGGTAGGAGAGAGAAAGGAGGATAATTAATTAATGGCCACCACTACCAACTGCCATGGCCTCCCTGACACCACCTACCAGCAGCAACATCCACCACCACCCACATTCAACCACTCGCCGCTACCCCGTAACCACCACCATGATTCGAAACCCCACCAGCCAAATCGCAGAACCCCACATCCCCACCAGCCAAATTGTGGAACCCCACCACCTAATGAGCAATATCCCGGAACCCCACCGCCAGCATAACACCGAAACCCCAACGACCACCACCTGAAACCCCTTGAAACTTTACCCTCTTAGCAGCAAATCGAAAGTCACCCCGCAAAAGGAACCCAAATCGACCAGACCTACAACCGCCCAAAACCGACCACACAACCACCCAAACTGACCGGACCCACAATCACCCAAACCCGACCACAACCATCCAAAACCGACCAGACCCACAACCACCAAGCCCAAAACCCGCAACCTCGGAAACCCACAACCACCGACCTCCCTCCCCTATCCCCGAAATCACCACCAACCACCCTAAAAATATGAAAAAAAAAAAAAAAAAACCTTTAATTTGAAAAGTATTACCTCCTCATCGCTAATTTGGGGTTTATTTGGTCAAATTTGACCATGAAAACTCTAGATCTAGAGTTTTCATGGTTAAATTTGACCATAAAAACCTCAACTTTAAGCTTTAATGGAAGAGGAAGTGGCGGTGGCGACTTTAATGAAGGAGGAAGTGGCGGCGACGACTATAATGGAGGAGGAAGTGGTGGCAACCCGATCTTATGGTGGTGGTGGTGTGGTTGTTGTGAGAGAAGAGAGAGAAGATTGGTGGTGAGGGTGGCTTGTTAGAGAGGAGAGAGAAAATAGGGTGGTGGTTGTTAGAGAAAAGAGAGTGGAGATGAGGGTGGCGTAAGAGAGAGGAGAGAGAAAATATGGTGGTGTAGGTGGTGGATCTGGTTGTGAGGGAGGAGAGAGAATGTGTGTTAGTGTTATTATTGAGGGTTAATTAAGTTGGGTTAATAACTTAATAACATGCAGTTAATGTGTTAATTAGATTGAAGTAAGGGTCTTTTAGTAAATTTACTCAAAAAATTTTACCATATAAGGAAACTTTTTTTTGTTGCACATAACTTGTAAAATCCCAAAATGGCAAATGTTGCACAAAATACGTAACGGAGGAAGTTTTTTTTTTTTTTTTTTTTTTTGGGGGGGGGGGGGGAGGGGGGAGAGGAGGGGTGAGGGAAGGATTAAAATATCATAACCTTCCACTGTATATATGATTGGAAAAGCTAGTCACATATCTACATTTCGAAATCATATCAACAAGAATACATACTGACAAAAAAAGGAACCAGATCAGAATGGAGGGCTGTTTACAGGTACTGATGTCTTATGATTATAATGGTAATTAAAACAAACTGAAATAAATTTACAAACTGAAAAATGGGTATGAAGAACGAAATTGAAGTAATTCAAACAGAGGTCAAATGACCTCATTACAAATTAGAGGCACAAGACAAAACTCTATCATTCAATAGACGTCCTGTGCACAATTGTCAGCTTGCTTGCTCCCAAACCAATCCAATGAAGTAGATATAGCCTCAGTGCACCTAATTTTGAATAGCACAACACTCCCACAATCTCAGACATTGATCAATTGCATCTTGAGCTCATAGAACATAGATGAAAGACACAAGCATTTTTTTGCTGATAAATGATCATTTGCAACATTACAAACAGCATGTGTGCTTAACTTAGTTGCATAAGATTACAGAGCTTTTGAAATTGTATTAAGCAAATTCTAATCCAAATTCATGCTATGTGGCTCAGATGATGGAGCACAACATGTGGCATGGGTCATATTTATGAAGTTCAACTCATTGGTGTCTTTAAAATAAATAGCATTGGTAACCCTCATATCCATGATGTATTCACAAATAGATGGATTTGTTTTAATCACAACGTTCTTTTAAAAATAGTCCCCTCACTTCATTTTCATGGATTGACATTCTGAAAGATATCACAAGATGGTGCAGAGAAACTCAGCTCACTCATATTAAGAGTCACAAGCTCTTCATGCCACACACTACATTTTCCTTACTACTCAAGAAATGACTGCTACATTCACAGTCAACATTCATCCACATTTTAACACATATATATAATTTTTTTCACATATTTGTGTCCCTCCCTTCTCTCTTCTTCATTTTTGCCTTTTCTTGACTTTGATCTGCACACCTATAATCTTCTTTTTATCTCTAATTTCATATTTGCATCTATTTCAAATCTCTGCACCCTCTTTCCATCCCTCCCACGGTCCCACCCTCATTTCATCCCTCCAAGGCTCCTACCCTTCCCTCACTATATATTACTCTCATCAATATACCACAAAGACATTCAGTGTACACATGACAATTACATATCAACAACTCCCACATCAAAAGTTATAACTAATCACATTGGAACTACTATTGACAAGTAAAACTAATTTAGTAACCTGAAGTAACAAATGATGTGGAATAAGAAAAGGGGATTAAGCAGGTAAATAACAAGAAATAATGGAAGTGTATAGATCTCTGGTTAAGTTCACATACTTTCCATTGGGTGTAAAAACCAATAGCCAAACAATAATAAACAATCACATACAAAAAGCCAATTATGTGGATGAACTACATGAAAATAGCAAAGCACATTTTATAACTTTCTTCATGCCGTCCAAGTAAGAGCCTGAATTAAATCACAAACGCCAAATGGTACTTCAGTCAAAGGTGCTACCATCTCCAACACTCTCCATCTCTCTTCAACACCTAAATTACCTCCCCACCACCCAATGCCCATGCAAGCCAAAACCAAAATTAAAGTCCCCTTCCAGGTTAGAGCCAAGTCTCCTCCCCTTCCATGCCCCCATCAATGCGGACAGGCCTAATCATGATATATGCACTTTCCATACCCACCGCTGAAAAGATAATTAAACAAAGGAGAAAGTTGAGTCTCATGATTAATTCCTTTCTATTACAGTCCTCCTTTATTCATAGTTTTCCTCTAACAGACATTATTTTTTCTGTTTTATTCAGCCAAGATAGAACCTAAAGAAATAGACACAATGAGAGAGGAGATGTTGCATATTATGTAGATGATAGCATGTTACCAAATTTAGGCAACTACAATATGTAAAGATGTAGGTACAAAAGATCATAGTAGAATATCCATTAGAGAATGTCATTAATGTTGTTAAAGAGCACTTCTCATACATATTATTAGATAACATCTTAATGGTACATTTTTAATTATGCACTCCGAACAGTGCTACTTGAACTTTGCTTGTATCATCGCATGACAACTTGGTAGGAAGGGCTTAAGCCTTAAGGTTATGTAATAGGAATACCGAGTCTAATAGAGTGAAACTGAGTCTAATACAGTTACACTGATGTTTTATAAGAATACTTGTAAAACTTATTAATAGATTGGGGTTGGGAACAAGAAATTGAGCATGTATTCACTAACAAATTCAACTATGTATGCACCCATACATTATATAAGCGCAAAAACATTTCAAGAAGTGATAAATTTACCTTAGTTGAATATTATGCTCATCTGACCATGGTTTGTTAGCAACCCTATGATAAAGCTCACGTGATTCGCCAATGCCAACCTTTATCAGATCTATATCCACCACATTAGGATATAGTAATTTCAATATCTCACCACGTAAAGAGCTTAATTCTGGCTCTGGTATAGGAGGTATTTCCTCTGAAGTAATGATACGGTTAGACTCAAGGTCCACAATTACTACCTACATCAGAAAATAAGGTAGAAATAGAAAGTCAAACTTAAACTCCAGCATAGAAAAGAAAAGGACAAGACAAAGGGGGGAAAAAGCAAAAAACATTAGGAAGATCCACAATATAGAACACTACCTACTTCGATAAACCCTAGAAAACTCAAAAAGAATTTTCTTTCCTTAATTCAGAATCCCAAAGCTAACATAGCTATAGGGAAAGTCCACTGCACCCTACAATCCCAATAGTTGATTCAACTAGGGCGAAGCTATCACACAATGAAGAAATTGGCTGGCCCCCAATCACTACTTCGAAGTTTTTTTTCCAAATAAGGCATGTATGTAGAAGAATTATATCTCACTCTAAAAATAAAGGTAATAAACTAAATTTCTCCTTCACTACACACCAAAGTCAATAAAACTTAGTGTTTAAAAGACTAGAAATAAGATTAAAAAAACGATTCCCTCCGTTTTTATATATATATATATATATATATATATATATATATATATATATATATATATATATATAAATATCCTATAATTCTATTTTCGTCAAGCTTGAAAAATGAAGATAAATGATGAAGAAGGATGAAAAGATTATAAATTTAACAACTGCTAGATTCAGTCCAGACACAGAAGTTGAAATTGAACCAACTAGGATACCACGAAAAACAGAAATATAAACGGAAATGACGCCAAACAACATACAATGATAAGTAGTACAAAAAAAAAGGATAAGATAAAATTAATTTAATGCACAAGCAAGGCAACAAGACAGAAATTAGGGAGGTAGCTTACACCATCCATTGAAAGGCCAGTGGTATCAACTCCAGAATGAAGACCCATCATGTATGGTGTTGGAGCATCAATATAATCCACTCCGCTGAAAAATAGTAATGGAATGTAGACATGCTTCATCAGACAAAAAAGAAAAGGAAAAATCAGGGACAGAAAGAAAAGAAAATATTTGACAGAATTATAAAAAAAAAATTAAAAAATCAAAAATAGAGAAGGAAGAAAATTTTTACATTATATAAATTATCAAAGCAATTACATTACAAAAATTTAACAGTAAGGTCAGAACTTGAAAGGTAAGGTGTAAAAAACCAACATTGACATTGCCTCAATATATACTACCTCCGTTTCTACAAGTTTGACTCACTTACTATTCATGTGGTCAAAATAAAATATATTTGACCAACTATTATGATTTATACAAAAGAAAAAATTACCATGGGAGTTCTTATTAGAATTGGCTTGGTTTATGTTATTCAAATATTAACTTTTTATTATTTTCAATGATACATAACCAAAGATATTAATCGTCAAAGATGCACATTGAATACCGCGCAAATGCAAAGAGAGTCGAACTTTCGGGAACGGAGGGAGTATGTATTACCTGCCATCGAAATGGGTAGATGAGATGACAAATTGCCTCGGAAACAAGAGTCAAAAGTGAATACCTGTCATTAAAAATAGTTAAATTTATACAATTCAAAAACAGTTTATTCCCACATATACACTAAATTTATCAAATTTGTTCTAAATCAGTTTTTCATCAAAAATAAAATAAAAATTTACATCTAGTGGTACACATTCAGCATCATACACCCCGGAAGATATCCTAAAATGCTACACAAAAAGCAAAAAGGAAGGAGTAAAAACCTACTATAGCATATAAGCAACCAATATGTCAAATTGTATACATCAAATCAAACGTAGCATACAATAACGAAATCCTATAAGGTTGATCAATTATAAAACAAATTGGAAGTCTGGAAACACAGCATTAGTTAGAAGACCTGGCTAGTTTCTTTCATTAAGGGATAAAATCAAAGTTTGTAAAAATGGATACTTGCTTGTTTGACCGAAGTAAGATTCTTCTTTCAAGCAATACAGCTGTGAAGAGTTTGAGCAAGTTGTCGACATCCAAACACTGTACCAATGGCTGAAAGGATACCTGCAATTCATCAAAGCAAAAAAGGTAAACCTACACTAACAACCTGCATTAACTTGTACAAGCAAGTCGAGAAAGACACAATCAGATAGACAATGATAACAAATTCAGCTTACATCAGCATGAGGTAAACCATCTTTTGGTGGAGCCTCAACAGACAATAGGCAATTCTCAATAGCAAACAACACCCGATCTTTCCCAGGCGTAGGCAAAGGTACATTGGACACCATACAGGCAATAATATCCCACAACGGCTTGCTAGAAAAAAGAAGTGTTATGAGTTGTGTTATATATTATAATAGAGACTTGATCAGAAAGCTCCAACAAGTGAAGCTAAATTAATGACATGACAGCTCACCGGCTTCCTTTTGGTGAAAAACAAAGAGCAAAGATCTCCTCCAGAGCGGTACGAAGTACATGAAAACTTGGCAAACGTGAAACAAGACAGATGCACTTGTCTGCAAATGAATTCACGGGGATACGATGTGCTTGAACAATATCTTCATCAACTAGGTCCCGAAAAGCAATACAAGTGACATAAATTTTGGAGCCATCACCCTCTGCAAATGACCAAATAAAAATAGAAAGTTACCATAAAGATATCATGGGTATAAAATAATAGCATTTAAGCTACAATCACTAATGTGATGTAAGAATTCAATGCCTACAGATATTAAAAATGATATTACATTTTTTTTTTTTTTTTTTTTTTGAATAGAAAATGATATTACATATTAAAGCATAACTACCAAGAAAAAAGGGTTGCAAGACTTGCAGCAGTCATCAATTTTGTTTCAATAATTTCATCTAACTCAGCTTACAAATACAAACGTACCAGTTAAGACAATAGGATAAGTGCGAGGATACGTTGAGGGATCATTGCCATCAAGTCCTGAAGCATAGAACTCCACTCCAGCAGGCAAAACACACTACATTAACACGGTACAATATAAAGATCAGGTCACCACCCAAAAATAGGAAAAAGAAAAGAAAAAGAAGTTAAACGACTTCACATAGACCTCCACTACTTTACAAAAGGAAAACTTGAAAAAAATTGGGGAAAACCAAATGGATAAAAGAACAATCAATATGGTACACAATAAGGTACTATCTCCTTTTTTCACTTGCAATGTTTTGACTATTGCATTATTCACAAACTAAACTTTAACTATGTTCGGTAAATTATACTTTAAGAATGACAGAGTGAAGAGAGATCTTGTTAGGTTTGTCTAAATATAAAAATTCAAAACATCGACATTATTAAAATTTACCTATTGGTAAATATTAAAGATATTATTGGTCAAAATTATGCGTTGATAAGCAAAAATCAAGCAAAAAAAGATGAAGTAGCTGTAGGCACCAAAAAATCATTTATTAGTGGTGTCACTTTCATCTAAATAATATCATAACTTGTGTAACAATATTTAGGAGTTTAGGAGATATGATTATCTTATCTTGCTCTACAGGACAACTCAATATAATGACGATATCATAAGGTTTCAAGAGGCTCACATTGAACAAGGATATAATATCTTGATTATATACCTTGTACAGTTTAGTGATACACTAAATGTTGAAACAGTTATAAAACAAGAGGTGCACATGTTAAAGGTAGTACAAGACTAATAGGAGATTAGAAGCACACAATAAAAAAAGACCAACTTAATCTCTCCACATATTTCCATCACAGTCCTTTGAAAATGTGTGAGCTAACATAATTGGCATTGAACGCTTAAAAAAAACAAGCTTCTATCTTTCACTATTGTGAATAGAAAATTATTAAAAACAACAGATAGATAAGAAGAAACTAGACACTGCAAACCAAAGGCTACCAAGAGCACCCACCTTATATGTATTTCTTTTGTCCCAATTAAAATGCAACACTTTCTTTTGCAATATTCTTATACTACTTGCAAATTTATTTATTTTAATCTATTTTTTGTTCTACTTGCTTTCTGTTCATTTCTTTTCTTTTTTCTCTTTTTTTTTTTTTTTTTTTTGTGTGTGTGTGTGTGTGTGTGCGTTCTACTCACTTTACATTATTACACCCACTCATTTTTTTTCAAGGTTTTCTTAATTTACAAATCTACTGTAAACGAGCCAAACCAACAATTTTAAGAAAAATTAAAATAAAATATAAATAAAAACTGAAGTAATATTCTATTTGCCAACATACTTTTACCAAATTTATATATAAACAAATGTTATTATGTAAAATGATGCTAGATTAATTTTAATGTATATTTTCAAAATACTACCTCTGTTACAGGCTGTGTGCAACGATTTGACATAAAGCAGAGAGGGAAAATGTCTAATCGTTGCTCATAACCTGTAACGGAGGTAGTACTAAATTTATACTTTTTTAATTTTTACTAATAGAAAATTATACTTCCTCCACTCCAATTTACCTACAACACTAAGAGTCTCACGCTTGCCAACACACAATTTAAACTAGATTTTTTTAATGTACAAATCAAGACAGATCCAACAAGATCCTACATTGCCAACGCACAATTTAAACTAGATTTTTTTAATGTACAAATCAAGACAGATCCAACAAGATCCTACATTGCCAACGCACAATTTAAACTAGATTTTTTTAATGTACAAATCAAGACAAATCCAACAAGATCCTACATGACTATTTTTTTCTTTCGTATAAATCACAATATGAGTAATAAAAGGTAGTATGAATGGTGTCAAAATCCTAATGTTGCAAGTAAAATGGAAGGAGGGGAAGTATATGCTAATGGTCAATATAATACATTAACAAGTGCGAATGTCAAGCTATGGCATTTAATTTTCAAGTAGTGGAAGCATATCAAATCCACGAACTACATACTGAAATCTGTTATCATCATCTTTTCAATCAACTACTCGTACATGCCTATCCATAAAAGTGCCTCCTATTATAAGACCATTGGACAATGAAGTGCTGCAAGAGGATAAATATTTGTAATTGCATTCACAAATTAAGAAAAGAGAAGCTATCAAGTTTCATTTGGAAAAAGTAAGTATAAATGCTTCACCGTTAGATGAGAACTAGACATCCGCTAAAAATATTCATCGCTTATACTTTACACTAGTGAAATGCACCATAATGCTCAACTTCATACATCATAGAACACGGCACATGATTTGTAGCCTCAATTACTTTTGAAATAACTCAAAAAATCCATATGTTCTATGATCTAATCCGTAAAAATTTATCTCTAATTGTATATTATTAATGCATTCCTTGTTCCATTACATAATTGTGCATTTCTCAACCTCTTCCCTTAATCTTTTCAAACACTCTACCCTAGAAAATTCCATTAATCTATTTTCCTCATTAGACTAAACAATGCTCTTTCATGGCACTTCCATTCACACAAAACCCCTCAAAATTAAGTGTTTCAAGCACCCAAAAACCCCAACCTGTATATCATCATCAAAAATCCGCATTTCCAACAAATATAAGCAAAACCCATCATCAATGTTACTACAATCATTCATTCAATCATAAATAAAACCCGCAAAGCTCGGCGAAAGTACAACATCATAGAAAACATACCCAGAAAATGGCAACACTTAAAAAGCAATAAAAGCACAAATTAGAAGAGAGAAAGTACCATGGGAAGCTGGGGAGGAGGAGGAGGATAAAGGGTATGATTGAGAGGAGGATACTGATCAAGAAGCGAAGGCAAATATCTGTAATTGGTGCCATAAAATCCTTTATTCTCATCTAATGTTCGAATCTCAGGTCCAATTCCACACACTATGAAATACTCGAAGATCGGCGCCATTTTCGAACCTCGAGTTTTGACACACTCTTGGTAAAGTATTGAATTGAGGAATGAGAATTTTGTGAAATGATAATCAGATCTGTTTGAAAGCTTGCTGCAATTTCAGATGAATTTTCATGGCGGTTCCACCTTTTGTTTTTTTTAGAGTGCCACGTTTGGTTGTAGAGGAGGAGAATGGAGTGGTGAATAGGAGAAGTATTGCCCACTACCAGGTAGAGATTAGGAAGGTCCATATGAAAAAAAAAAAATTCGCTAAATGTGGGAAAAAAGTTATTTTCTATTTTAATATTGTTATTTTAAGTTCTAGCCTGTTAAAATAAAATTTAATACTGTTATATATTTCTTCAATATTGTTTTCGAGATGTTATTTTAATCTTTTCATTAGTACTTATATATTAAAAAGATAAGTATTTGTGTTAAAAATTAAGTATTATGTTTTACTACAGTTATTATACAAGTGAAATCTGTTATTAAGGAAGACAATACAGTTATTATAAATTAGATAATGTTAAGTTGCGTGATTTGGTATCAGAGTCATACGGTTAAAAGATTAATTAAGTTGATTTAATAATTAGGTAAAACTGGAGAACACTAGACATTCTACTGAGTGTAAGAAACCTGATTTTAAGCACTATTATCATATTCCTGAAAATACTAGTAATTTTGGCCCAATCCTTAATTATATCGTAGATCAAATTGGTGAGTTAAGATCGGAAATTGATAACATACATGCTCGTTGTATTAATATCGAGAATAAATATCAATAACCACAACCGATATTAATAAAAAGGTAAGTGATCTAAATGAACAGGTTAAACAAGTTCAACTTGCTTTAACAAACGAAGTTATGCATCAATTTGGAAAAGCAGTATCGTCTAATAAAGAGAAAATTGTCCCATATAAATATAAATATCCTTTTCAAAATCTAGATAAAAATAAAAAGTTTACTGTAACACTCCCTAAAAGACCACTAGTAACCAAGAAAAGAATAAAGAGACTAAAGATGAACCCTTATCTTCAGGAGAAAACACTTAACGAATTACAAGTCCTATTTGATAAAGAAGAAGACCCTAATAAGCCAAAAATCCTATGCAATTTAGAATTTCTAATAATAGTGTCATAATGCATACAAAGATAATTGAAGATTTAAAAATAGATATTGAAGGAGTTCAATGTGTTATTCCTATTTTATGGGCAACTGATCAACCTAGTCATGATATGATAATAGGAAATAATTTTCAAAGGTTATACTCTCCATGCACTCAAACTATTGATCAGATAATCTTTACTATTAATGGTCATTTTGTTCCTATACAGAATATAACAAAGGCTTATACTCATCAGACAATGGAATTTACGCGCAGCCAGCGTGGTGATAGGGTTACTCCTACACAACGAGAGGTTGCACTTAGAATTCCTGAGTGTGATTCATCATTAATAAATCAGATAAATAAGCAACAAGAAAAACTATGCGAAAAACTATATTCAACAAATCCTTTAGAACATTGGGAAAAGGATAAAGCATTTGCTAAGATAACTCTAATAAATCCTAATAAGATTATTAGAGTAAGACAAATGGTTTATACCTACCAAGACATTCAGGAATTTGATGAACAAATAAAAGAATTGCTTAATAAAAAGCTAATTAGGAATAGAAAAAGTCCTCATAATAGTCCAGCATTCATGGTAAGAAATCATGCAGAAGAAAAGAGAGGTAAAGCTAGAATGGTCATTAATTATAAACAGCTAAATGACATACTTTTTTGATGGCTATTACATTCCTAATAAAACTGTAATATTTAATAGAATACAAGGAGCCACATGGTTTTCTAAAACGGATTGCAAAAGTGGATACTGGAAAATTAAAATGGAAGAAGAAAGCATTCCTTTAACTGCATTTAGTGCCCCTCAAGGGCATTATGAATGACTAGTAATGCCTTTTGGATTAAAAAATGCTCCACAAATATTTCAGAGAAGAATGGATAATATTTTTAGAGAGCTTAATTATTGTTGTTTGGTCTATATAGATGATATCCTGATATTCTCAAAAGATTTAGAACAACATAAGAATGATCTTAAAGCAGTAACTCAAAAATGTGCAGAGCATGGTATAATCCTTGGAAAAGATAAATGTGTTTATGCTAAACAAGAAATTGAGTTTCTTGGATTAGAAATTAAAGCAGGGCAAATAATATTGCAAAAACATATTTTAGAAAAGATTGAAAAGTTTCTTGATAAAATTGAAGATAGAAAGCAACTAGAAAGATTTCTAGGATGTTTAATAACCTATGCTTCTGATTTCATAGAAAATCTTGCTCTATTAAGAAAACCATTACAGAAAAAACTCAAGAAAGAAATAACTTGGAATTGGAAGGAAAGTGATTCTAAAATTGTTCAAAATTTAAAAGCTATGTGTAAAGATCTTCCTGTACTAACACTATCTACCAGTGAAGATGATTTAATCCTTGAAACAGATGCTAGTAATGAGCACTGGAGTGCTGTGTTAACAATAAAAGAAGGAGAAAGACTTTGTAGATATAGCAGTGGAAGTTTTAACAAAGCTGAGTTAAACTATCCTGCAATGCAAAAGGAAATCCTTGCAGTTATTAGAGGGATCGAGAAGTTTTTAATCTTCTTAGCTCCTAAACAGTTCTCAATAAGAACAGATTGCAAAGGCATACTCGGTTTTGTTAAAAAGAATTTGTCTAATATGCAAGCACAAGGGAGACTCCTGCGTTTGGCAATTATGGCTTAACCAATTCTCTTTTACTGTTGAACATATACAGGGAACAAAGAATTCTTTGGCAGATAGCTTGACCAGAGAATTAGCTAATGTCGTCCAAGAAGCTCAAGACTACACAAAAACCTCCTGCATACCAATTCAACTTCAAAAAATGGATGTAGAGAGACTCTCATTAGTGAGACCGAAAAATAAATGGAGCGGGTTTCACCCTCCAGTTGGGCCTTAATGCAAGGCTTGATCATATCGGCAAAACAACGTTCACGAGATGGTTTAATTAAGGGTTGCTATCGGGGAGTCCAAAGGTTTTTGATGTTCGAAATAACAATTATGTTATTTCAGCTCATTCCTGATGTACGAGATATAATATTAAACAAAATCGAGATAACGATTTTAGGACATGGTACGAGTTGGTGATTACAAGGTCCAGTAAATTCTTTGATCTTCGAGATCTATGGGGAGAAAGAGTAGAGTTTCCCAAAAACTCTAAAGTTGCATCATTGCGAATCTACCCATATTCTCTTGATAAAGATGCTCCATTCATTAGTATACATTACAAGGCTTGGGATTATGGAATGGTACATAATTTCTATGAATTCCCTACTCCTAATGAATCTTTCTTTCCAAAACTTACAAAGTTCTAGTAGTACGCATTCAACAAGGTTCGAAAATATTGTGATGACAAAAAAGACGAATTTCAGTTAAGAGTAAAGGTACAATGTGCTAATATCGAATTTAAATAAGAAAAAGTTAGTCCCCCGCATTACTTGATAATATTTGGGGAAGTGAGGTATTGCAAAGATCCCATACTAATTCGTCAGAAGACTGTTATAAATCCAACTGAAGCAAGAGCACGGGGATTTTTCTACATTTCACAATATCTTAACGATTTTATAAAAGATAATCTTCTTGTCATGTTTCATGTTGGTAACACAACAATTGTGGCGCCTAACGAGATGAAAGAATATTTAGTAGATGGCATAAACAACACCGAGTCAATCTACAAATATTTAGAAGATATCGAAAGTGGAAAGTTTCTGTGATTTGAAGGCTATGAGTATCTGTTTGAAGCATTCATGAGTTGGGATGAAGAGTATGCAGCCAAATGTGTTGCAGACCTTTGCGGAAAGAATCCTATGTACGAAGACAGTAAAGATAGTAAGGGAGGTCTACAAGAGATGATGATGGATGAAATTATGAATGCTTGAGCCCACGCCATCAATAATTCAAGGCATCTTTACTGTAGTCATATGTTTTATTAATTGTTTCTGTCTTAAAGTATCTTTGTAAAAAGCAATGGTGTAGAATTGCTTGCTGAGTCAGGATAAGGATCCTATGTAAGTTTGCTTCCCTATATAAAGGGACTTAGGCCAAGAAGTGAAGGCAAAGTTGGAAGAGTTAGCTAGAGAATTGCTCTGAAAGCATTAGAGAGTCCTCTAGAGAAAAATACTCACCTTAAGAGACAGATTGGTCCCCCATCTCACTTAAAGTAGAGAAAACTCTAGTTTAGCTTATGTCTGTTTAAGCTTTTAGTTTGTGTGTTTTTTGTAATATATGAGTGTTGTAAACTTTTCAAATTAAATAAAAATTTCGTTCAAGAAGGGAACGCTATCCCCTTGAACCTTATATATCAAATGAGTTATCTTTCTGTTTAAAAAGTTCCATCATAATCACAGTAATGATTGTCTAATTAGAGATTACGGTCTGAGGTAGGAAACTAATTAGATCTGTGATGAGCCTGATCTAAGGAAGGCAGGGTTGGAGTTAGCTACCTTGGTAAAGTCGGAAGCTCAGAACGCCGGAGGTTCCATTGTCGACTAAGTTCAGGTATTGGTCAAAACTCTCTAGTTAAATAACTATTATTGCAAAGCATGGTGGGCTTTTAAACTGTTAAAATAATTTATTTTGATGTATAAGTAGTAGAGTTGTGATAACTATTACCGTTAAAAGTCATTTAAGTAATTATCAGATCGAATTATAGTAAAAATCAGTGTATTATTAAAAACTGTTATTTTAAATTAAGGTACTGTTATTAATTTATCAAATACTGTTATTAAGTCATTAAGTACTGTTATTTATCCTAAATATAATAATAAATAAAAAAATTCTAACGTCACTTGGTATCGGGCGGGGTAGCCTATACCGGGTAGCGGTCCATCATTCCCTTGGTGAATAGTTGATTTGAAAGGTAATCATAAAATATTGCTTTTTATTTTAAAAAATAAAATGCTTGTTCACATCATGTCAATATTGCAATAAA